AAATGCATTTATTATATCGAGCCATATCAGAATGGAAATAAACGCATTTATAAATAAATGTGTTTAAAATGTATTTTAAACACATTTATTTATAAAATTATTAAAATGCATTTTACTTGATATTCATGTCCCAGGAACAATTAGTAAAAATGCATTTTGAACTGGTTCATCTTCATTCACCAGATTGTGTGTGTAAATGTACTTGGGAAATAATGAACTGATACCAAAAAAATACCAATAACAATCCGTTTTATTACAAATGATACATGTGTAAAATTCTTACAAAAATAAATATTAAAAATGTTTTTTTTTTACAACCTTGCACATTGGGAATCCGGAGTAATGTGCATGGCAAAATTAAGTATAAAAGCTTGGAAATAATGTATATAAACATTTTGCAAGTAATACACTGGCTAAAATTTAACAAGCATGCATAATTATTACTACTTAATATAGAATAAATAGACCAAAAAGTTTATTACTGGTACTATGCAAATTAACTAAATAACAGGAAAAAACTTTTTGGTGTCTTGATATCGTAAACCTGATATCATAGTGCCCAATGCATGGTTTATGGATGCTTCTGGTGCTGATTTTGGTCCACTCATACAGAAAGCTGTTGAGGAATAAACAGTAAATAGAGTAAAAGTTCGATGAGATGCATGTTCTTATTAATAAAATGTGTAGTTTGTACATGTGACTTGTGTCCCCTATTTAAACTGATGCATTAAAAACAATTCATTGTTTTAAGTATATGACTCAGAACGAAGGTTTGTTAATGCGAAACCTTGATGTATGATGCCTTCATTGTGCAGTTTCATTGAGACACAAAATTAGTCAACCTCACAAGTATACAATCTGCACTGGTTATTGTGAAAGCCATTTTTTTGTATAATTAGTACATTGATGGTCTGTGACATTGTGCAATAGGTGATTTTCCGTATAATTGCGAGATCTCGCGAGATGCATGAAAGACACGCGTCGAATGTCTGCCACAAAAATCGAACGATTTGATTTTGAACTTGAATTTCTTTATTTCATAGCTCACAGTGGAATATTGCTTCTGAATACCCTTACTTAATCAAAATTGCCTCTCATCAAATGTGGACACAGCACATTATTAAGCATGGAAATGTCCCCCAAAATACTTTCGCGTTTGTCGAATCCCACGCGATGTTTGACGCCACTACGACGCTATGACATTTGTTTGTCCTGTTTTTACGTTCGATTTCACGCATAACGCGTGATTCTTGCAGTGAACGGAAAATGGTCTTACTTGATTTGCATAATAATTAGTCAGTTTTCAGCTTTTCAATCAATTACTTATCGTCATATTTCAATGAATCTTGGCACATAAATACTCTAAGACGATGCAACAATATAATTAGTTTGGGGTTTATATACATCCACAGTCAGCTGGCGCACACGTGATAATAAATAAATACGATATTTACTATATGGCGGCCGCCATCTTGAATGCAGCGTAAAACTAAATAAGAGACAAGTTGTGAA